ATTGGAATGTGGAGAATGGTTTTGAGCCGTCCGATGGTGCCTTTGCGTTGACTGTTGACTTGATATTGTCGATGGCTGCTTCCGAAAACTTGAACACTCTCTCTCTTAGTTTCGGGTCCGCTTTAGCGTTGGACGACGCGTCGCCGTTGGATGGAGGCGGAGAGAGATCGAGCTTCACGCGCGTGTTTCGGGCCTGGGTGCGGTCCAGGAAGGGTTGGGCTGAAATAGATTTTGACCCATTGCAGATCTCCGCCCACGAGCTCATGAAGTGCCACGTGGAGGTACCGTCTAGGATCGCATGGTTGAAGGCGCACCCTATTGCCAATCCATCCTTCAGCTTGGTTAACTGCGTGGCGTGACCCCAAATCCAAATTAGCGGTTAAAAGGGTTCAAATGATGAAAAGGCAAGTGATCCATGGTTCATAATAAACAGTAAAAAAAAAAAGTATCAAACATCATTGATTATTCAAGATAGGAAATAGAACATATACATAAGTTTAGATCTAAAAAAACATAAATGTGGGTTAGGTTAGTTTGTTCGTCCCTTTGTGATCAAGTTCGAGTATTGCTTGGATAGAGAGAAAAAATCTCATAAAAATAGGAATCTACAACCAGAACGTCTGCAAAATGGACATGTAAAAGTGTTTTCTTGGGTCCCCTCCACTTTAGACTTACTACTTTAATTAGATTTTGTTGAGCTAAAGATTAATTAGATGCTGTGATTAACCATGTCATTAATGCATTGACTATTTATTGAAGTTAATCAGAGTAGATAGCTAGTATTAATTAATGAGTGATGAATTTTACCTGCAGTGCCAGCAAAGGCCTGTGAATGCCCTCCAAGTTCAAGACCCCATTGTAGGGTATGAAGTCCTTCAAAGCACTGGTGCCTTCCTCAACTGCCAGATCAGCTATGCTGATATCTTCTGATGCAGCCTCCACAACCTCCACACCCTCCATCTCATCACCATACTCAACCCTAAAGACTCCCTCCTCATCCTTCCCAAGCTTCCCAGCCAGCTGATAAAACTCCACCAGAACCACCTCCAAACCCTCCTTCAGCTTCTTCACCATTTCCTCGAACTCAGCCCCCTTGTAAAACAGTAACTTCTGGTTGTAGTAAAAAGCCAGGTAGGGGAGGTCAAATGTGACCAGCTGGCATTCTTTCTTACCTATCTTCTTGTTGGGCTTCACATGGGTTTTGCTAGTGACTTTCACCTTCGAGATTTCCTCCTTCTTCCCCAACTCAGATGCCATGGTTGATGATGTTGATGTTGATCTAACCAGGGAGCTGGCTATGAAGTTAGAAAAGGAAAACTGAAGAAAGTGTGCTGGTTGATAAATGGAATGAGGGTATCAGAGATACTTATAAACAAGTTGCTGGTGTAGTTGGGGTTGCAATTATGGGCTTCACGGTGGAGGTTGGGACCCATAAATGTTTCTCTTTCACTAGGTTTAGGTGTGGAAAGAAGTTCTCATACAACGAAAGAACACTTTTTGCTGTCCTTATTATAATTTATAGGTGAGTCTTTTTGCTAGGTGTGAATTATATATATGCCGGGCAGGGCAGTGGAGGGTTGTGTTGTGTATATTAAGGCATTAATATCAAAGATAAATTTTTATACCTCCAAGTATTTATGTGTTCTGGTTGCATGTATATGTTGAGTGTATTTGTCTCACATTGAAAAGTTAAAGGATCTAGCTTGGGTTTATAAGGAGTTGGGCTATTCCCCATTGTCAATTGGTTTTTGGGGTGGAACCTCAACTTCCTTCATGGTATCAGAGCAAGGCTTTACATGTTGGGCTCAACGACTACACGTGCTCCCACGTGTTAGGCTTAAAAGTTCGCCACACGTGCGGGGGTGTGTTGAGAGTATTTGTCTCACATTGAAAAGTTAAGGGACTTAGCTTGAGTTTATAAGGAGTTGGGCTACTTCCCCATTATCAATTGATTTTGGGGTGGAACCTCAACTTCCTCTAATATATACGTTATTATGTTATAAATATTTACTGAAAATTATGTTAAATTTTTATAACTAAAAATAAAATATAAAGCTGTAAATTAAAGAATAAATTATATTTCTCAAGCTTCAGATTCCAAAGCAAGTGTAGTATCTATATATTTGAATAAACTATACAAAATCTACGTGATTTTTTAAATTATCACAATAAATAAAATGTAAAATTGAAAAGAACAATGTTGTGGTGCGATAAAGACAATTATGTACTACAAATAAAGTTTTGCTTTTTGGCTTTACCAAAATATATTTGCTTTTTAGAAAATAAAAATATTTATTGAGTCGAGGGATTAATAGTAAAGAAATTCGTAACAAATTATTTCCCACCCAAAACAAGTCTGTTGAAGAATATAAGTCCCACATTGGAAACTTGACTAAATAAAATACAAGAATTATATATATATAAAGCAAAAGGCAAAGAATGGTGAAACATTCAAAACACTAGAAAATGCCCTTAGTTAATGAAAACATTAAGAATTGAAATTATTAATTAAATTAGGATAATATGATAAATTCACACTTTTTCATCTTAAAAAAATTAAAATTAAAAGAAAAATCAAATAATAGATTCTCTTTTAATGGAACACAACTACCCATTATCTTTTTTAATTCTAAAATAAATTTAAATTTTTTTAAAAAGTCTTTGGCAAACACATAAACGCGTGCGAAGAGGCTAGTATAATGAATGGTTCCACTACTAATATACCGAGGCATTTTGTGATAAAATATAACACATACAGAGCTTTGTATGTGGTTAAGTTTGAGACAATATCGGTGTTATTAGTTGTGGGTCGCTAATCCGTCTCTCTGAATTTAACAAAGTAAATGACAAGTGTCTAATGAAACAGGAGAAAAAAGAAAAAATGCTGTCAAAATTAGTTGGACCTATTTATGAAAGGGCCACAGTATTGAACTCTTATACCTAGCTCTTCTAAAATCTTACCAGCCTTCAATTTAATGGGGATGCTCTCAACCGCGGAGGGCTCTGGAACCAATCTAAAATCATATAAAACACTTTAACAAGTCTTTCATAAATTTGTTGCGATCGTTGAGATCTAAGTATGACCATTAATTTGTAACTCCTTTACAGGTACAGGGGTGAGGTTGAAGTTAGTTTTCTGCAAGAAATTTGGGGTCTCTTGCATCAGAAATGACACTATGGTAATTCAAATCAATCATGTTACATCAGAAATGACACCATATGGCTGCAAGTACTAGTACACTCGCCGTTGTATTACAAAAATTTGAGGCATACAAGGCAAGTGGGTAATTCATAAATTCTCATAAACATGATTAGGCTTTTTATCACAAATGGTCCTTCACGTTTATGAAATTATCACGAATGGTCCTTGAAGTTTTTTTGTGACACTAATAGTTCATAACGTTTAGGTTTTTTATCACAAATGGTCCCTGCCGTTAAAACATTCTGTTAAGTGTGACGTGGATGATAAGTGGAGCCCACCTGTCCAATTACATTGTGACATATGGATAAAAAAATAATTAAATAAATTTTTAATGAAAATTCCTTTTATTTTTCTGCAATTTTTCATCCCGCTTTCTTACTCCGTCTCTCTCTCCCGCAGAAAAATAAATAAATATGGAATTTTCATTAAAAAATTAAAAAATTATTTTTTTATCCACATGTCACAATGTAATTGGACAGGTGGGCTTCACTTATTTTTCACATCACACTTAACAGAATTTATAACGGCAGGGACCATTTGTGATAAAAAGCCCAAACGTTAAGGACTATTAGTGTCACAAAAAATCCTCAAGGACCATTCGTGATAATTTCGTAAATGTGAAGGACCATTTGTGATAAAAAGCCACATGATTAAATAGCCTATATGAACTGCAATTACATCCATCATAGGGTCAGTACAGGCAAACAATCCCAGTCTGGTATATGGCGAGGCGTACTTCTATAACTACATTCCTCCATAAATGATTGATTTATTGTCACACTGTGATTACAAGCCTCTATTTACCTGTACTTCGACAAATCTAAGTCACTCAAATGATTTGACTGCTTAAAACATGACAAGTCTTATTTTATTTAATTTTTATTTTCAAAACCCATTTAAACACTAATTTAACGCCGTTAAGGGTTACAGTGTGTTTTTTTCTCTCTCCCGCGAGCATACTTATCCGGAGAGTGTACTTCTTCTTCTTTCTGTCTTTTTCTTTAATTTTTTTCTTCCTGTTCGTGCTCTCTTCTTCTTCTTTTTGCTTTTTTCATTTGATAGCTATGTGCTTGCTTAGATATAGGAGGACTGCTTTCTGCATCAGCCTTCAGGCACACTGCTTATAAAAATAAAATAAAATAAAATATGACTTGTCATGTTTTAAGCGGTTAGATCATTTAAGTGGTTTAGATTAGTCGAAATGCGGAAAGTCTAAATGCATTAATTGAGTTTAGTGTATGAATCAAATCTAAATCACGGGCAGTTTATGCAATTTAAGAACAAAGAAAGAAATTGAACCTGCTGCGCTGCAGGTCCAGTCGCCTTCGAAGAAATGTGAAAGAAAGGTAGAGTATTTTGTTTGATTTGAGCAAAAAATGTTGACTTGTTTTTATGACTCCCCATTCCCAAGAAAAGTCAAAGCCTTAACTTAACAGTGAATGCTATAAACAGATTCAGTATTACCAGAAGCTATCCCCAACCCAATGACATTGCAAAATATGACAATTCTAGTGCTCGATCAGATCAGAAGAAGCAACCCTAATTAATGAGACTTGCAATTTGCAAACAGATGATGGTTTCTTTTTTCTTATTTAGTTTTGGAAAACAAGATCCAGAAATTTATGTGTGCAACAAATGTTAGTTGGCATTGAATGACCGCCAGCCAGTCCAGCCAGTCCAGCCAGTCCAGCCAGAGCCTAATAGTAAATAGTTCATTACCTATCCAAACCATGCACCGATCCATTTACACGTATATAGACTCTACTTTGGAGGAAATGCATTTTGTGAAACTTGAAAGTGACTAAAGATGAGACTTATAACCCAATAATTTGTCCAATCAAAGGACAATAATTTCTACATTCAACCACCCCCAGCCGCGGGGGCATTCAAAGCTAAGAAAACTTCATCTTTGTAATTACTTCAAATTCTGGCCAGAAATTTGTCATTTTGAGAAGGAATTAGGGTACTATTTATGGGTCATAGTGTGATTTGACCCGGATCCAGAATTTCCTTCACAACTAGATTTCTGGCCCTGTTAATGGTCATGAAACACAAATACAAATGTTCCTCTAGCTCATCGAGCTGCTGCCTAAAGCTACAATCATTTTTCTTCAGCTGGCGAGCCACTTCGCCGCTGGCTTGGCTCCAGTCCTCTCCACGGCCCACCCAAAATTTAACCATGCCATGCATATGCTCTATCTCATCATTCAGCCGAGCCACGAGCCGGCTAACAGTCTCTAGATCTCTATTTAGTATGTAAGTCCCCTTGGTGGCTGCATCGAGCTGAGCAGCCATCCTAGCTAGCCTCCTCTGCGAAGCCAAGTCAAGGGAAGCAGCTATAAAAGCCGGCATCGCCACAACTAGTGCAAGAGCATGCGTGACTACAATTACACTTAACGAAGCCGTTAGCGCGACTAAGAAAATAGCTGAGCCGGCTCTTAATTTGTTTGCGAGCCGGAGCTTGGCTCGAGCCTTGTTGCGAGTTGACTCGAGTCGTTTTAGCAAGTTTGAGCACCCAGCTTGAATGGCTTGAATGCGAATCAGGGACAAGGCAGTGGTTAATTTGGTTAGGCGGGTTAGTGTTTCAGGGGTAGACCTGTCATTTAAGGATTGGAGGCTGGTTTTGATGGAACGGTATTTGACACGTGTACGGTCAATATCTTTTAATAGGAGGCCACATAGGATGGAAGCGTCGGCTGTTTGGGTGAAGTAGTCGGATAAAAGTGTAGGGTGGTTCGGGGCCATGGTTAAGATCCGAGCAACCATGGGTTGGTCCGGATCCAAAAGGTGCTCCGCGAAGAGCCGATAGGATGGGAGCCGAGCTGCGGTAGTTGACTCCATTGGCATGCGCTTGTTGGTCTTGGTTGAGTCTCCATTGGATAACGCCACGACACGTGTCCAGAAGTCGAGGTATGATTCGGTGCGGAAGGCATTAGCGTATTCTTCTGTTACATCCACACTCATTGAAGTAGGCGGTCTGGTGGGCCCGGGTTCTGCACCTAAACAATAAACGAGCCCAACCCAGCCATTACAAGCCCACTTTGCAATAAGATTAACAAACGATAATACGAGCTTGAAATTTTGGACAAAGATAAAAAAATAAAAAAATAAAAAAAGAAAATAAAAATAAATTACCAGTACAGGAAATAAATTTTCGGATGCGTGCACTAATTCTTTTCCCCATTGCAACCTCGTCAACCTGTGAATCTCAATACTGCCAAGAACGCTTGGAAAGAAAAAAGAGAAAGAAAATCAGAGAATATAATTGATGATGCAAAATATAGGAGAATAAGAAAGTGGCATGAATAATTGAACACGAACCTGTGGGTGTATGGATTGAAAGATGAGAGGATGCTTTGCGTCAGTGGACAAAGAATTAAAGAGTTGTAAAAATGAGAGGGCGTTTATATAGATAGAGATAGAGAGCCCAAACATTTCATTTTTTCTGTTGCTTGTAAGAAACATAGATATAAACTTAAACTCCGGGGCTTGTAGTGCACGCGAAGGCTTATAAGAATTGTTAGCAAGTTTAGCAAGAGCTTTCGTTCCAATCTTAATTCAAATCAGCCTAGGTAACCACACGTGTAGAAAAACTTATTTTGCTATTCCCAGCCAATAATACTATGCTGCGTGAAAGTTTTATCAATCATGTCATAGTGTTATTAATCAAAAATAATAAAATAGTATTGTGTTATTTCTATTTCATGAAAGTTTTATCGTACATGTGGCACCGGCTCCCTGGGCTTCAAATGTGCGGTTGATATCATTTGAGCATGCCAAAGCGGCAACGTATTACTTTCGTGTCTTTTGGTAAAAGAAGAAGAAAAAAGAACAAGTTCCCTGACTTCCACCGCCCGAATATGTTCCTATTCTAAGAATATTCCAGTTTTATTAGCGTGTTGATCACATCACACGGAGTGGGATTATACTTTATTTTTTCAATAATAAATTATATTAATTTCGCAATTTGTTTATTTTTTGCATTCCTATTTCATAAAAGACTTTTCCTTTTCTTTCTGCTTCATCGCATACATGCATGCATATAGCACCTTATCCTGACTCTCAACTTATTCCATCACGCGATTCACTCATGCTTGGCTTATCCTATCTCGCATAATAATAACGCGCACAACTTTTTTCCTATTCAATTTCACAATTTGGCAATTTAAAATAATTATCATTTTTCCTTTTTTTTTTTTTTAAACATAATTTTTATTTTCAATTTTTCTCAATGTAAAAGAAAAGGACAAATTTCAAAGCCTGGTCCATGTCATGCATGTATGCCACGCTACAATAACCAATAGGATCAAAGTCTCGAACTCTCAAGATGACGACAGAACATCCTAGAAGTCATCCCCATCGTCGTACCCAACATCATCTTCCACCCTCTCCGCCACGTCATCCGCAATTTTGTCCTCCACGTAATCAAAGCCCTCCGCCAATGCGATTCCACCAAGAACCCCCGCCACCGCGCCCACAGCCACTCCTGTACCCATCCCACCAAACTTACTCTTCTTCTCCTCCTGTCCATACCCCGCCTGACCATAACTCGCCTAAGCCGGCTGACCGTACGGTGCTGGAGGCGCATTGTACGGGTATCCAGAAGGTGGGGCCGCGTAGTAATCGCGCGGAGGCGGCGGTGCAGGTGTGGCGTATGGTGCTCCATACGTCGGCGGCTGTGCGGGTGTGCCGTAGGGTGCGCCATACGCCGGCGGCGGAGCAGGATAATCTCGAGATCCCGCTGGTGGGACCCCATAAGGCGAAGGGTAGTACGGTTCCGGGGCACGGTAACGCGGCTCCCTAATCGTAACCTTAACGTCAACCTTGCCCTGGGGCCTGCCAGAGGGTCGCTTGAGCTGCAGAGTGCGGCTGGCGCGCTCGTCGAAGCCCACGTCATCGAGGACTTCGCGGAGCTTGAGCCGGGCGGACCCGATCAGTGGCTTGGTGTCCCGGTCGGATCCGGCGTGCACGACGTCGATGTAGAGCGTGGTATCGCCGTCGACAGGACCCGGTAGAGGGATGGTGAGCGTCTCGTCCCAGTAAGGTGACGTGTCACCCTCCTCGTCGACCCTGGTGGAGCACTTGTTCTTAGGGTCGACCCATACGACGGCGTACGGCTTCACGGGGCCGTTTCGCCAGTTGACGTTCTTGAGGTCGCGAGCGGAGGAGAGCTTGACTTGGACTTCGTGGCCGGACGCCATTAATTGTTCTTTTTTGTTTTGGGTTGGGTCTGGTCAATGCTTTTTGAGTGTGTGCGATTGTGCTTATAACGGGTTATTCGTATATAAAGGTCCAAGGGAAGGAATATTTGTTACCAAAATGCGAAAATACAGTGGTATCCTTGGTAATTGTTTTTAGTAAGGGTTGGTGGGAGGGTATTTGCGTACACGGCAAAGTGAGGATAAGGCTAAAGTGATTATCTGGGGAAGGATTATATTAGGCAGGTAGGAAGCATATATCTGAGGTGGTTTGTACTTTTGGATGCCGATTAATTAAGAGGTCAAGTTGACTGACAATTACACTTGGTGGTTAATTAATTTGGTTGCCTTAATTAGGTCTAGATGCTTCATGCCGCTTCACACACAAATTTAAAGTAAGTAAAGCAGAAACAAGGGATGGGATTTGTTACAAAAGCTTCTGTTTTTTAAACATTATGAAGAGACTGTTGCCAACGAACGAGTGCATAATCGATCGATCGAGTTCAAAGTTTCTGCCTAGAACTCTGTGCCTGCCACCAAGGGAAGCTTCTTCTGTTCAAAGCAACGGGGTAGCGCAGGCACAGGATTGTTACACGTTGACAAAGGGCAAATTTATGCATGGACTATAGTGGATTGTAGCCCAATGGTAAATTTAGAGATGAAAAAAATTAGTGTTAATTTTATAAGTGAAACCCAGGTTAATTAAAAACAGTCCAGCCCTCTCCTTCTCTTTAAAATTGTACCAACATATTAAAAATAGCATGTTCTTTAAATTTGGTAAGATTTCTAGTACTTTTTGCTTAATTTTCAATTTCAATTGTTATTGTTAGCTTTTTATGATTTAGGATTTAGGTGTTAAATTTTGGGGTCTTTTTTCTTATGCAATTTGCTAGGATTTTATTGATGACTCGTCCTTTTTCTGTTTTAATCCATTCATTACTTGAACTTTGCTTTTATAGTCTAGTTGTCTTTTGGGTTTGTTGAATATTTGTAGCTTGTGATTGTGCAATTGTAGATCTATATGACTACACTCTCGACTTCTATGTGTCCTCCCATAAAATTAAAAAATTGTTAATTGAAGAATAGTTGCTACCACTCATTTCCTTTGCATATATTTTTTAATAATAAAAAATACCTATAGCCTATAGCAAATTGACCATGTAAACCTGTTTTTAAGAAGAATAAAAAAAGGGTAATATACACACCGCTATAAAATTTCCTGAGTCGGCCCTCGCCGGTTGAGGTTCGTTACCCATCACAGTTTCCCAAATGAAAGATGAGAAGTCCAGCAATGGGTCCTACCTACCTCAGTTGTTGTTCCTGTTTTCTGCACCAGAAGAAGCTTGTCCAAGTCTTGTGGGGGTTATTAGAAAGTTAGCTGGGTCAACAAACTATTTCTGATAGAGAAATATACGAGAGTGTGCTTGGATTTATTGGATACACTTTACACAGCCTTTAAAAAATAAAAAAATAAAAAAATAAAAGTTCGAGAAAATGTACATGCCAAAATGTCAGAAGTGGGATTTGAACCCACGCCCTCGTTAGAGGACCAGAACTTGAGTCTGGCGCCTTAGACCACTCGGCCATCCTGACGTTGTTGTTGAATTATACGTACAAAACCTATATAACGCGAGACGATGAAATTTGTCAATAATTAACGCCGTCTTTAATGAAACGAGGATAAAATAAAGAGGCATTTTCAATTTATTTCATCATCAATTCATCATTATTATTTTACTTTTCATGTCAAGAAGCTTCTCTCTCAAGCTTTGACTAACGGTCTTTTAAGGCTGGTCTTTTGGATTTATCAGCAGCAGTGAAGTTGTTCATCATAATAGAAGTTTTGGTCAATTACTTAAGTAGAAAGCTAGGGGACATTCTCTATTAAGTATTTAAGTTAAGAATTAGTTACATATTTCTAATTTCAGCCGTTGAATTGCATCTAAGATACTACCAACATATTTAATGAATACAATCCAACGCCCAAGATTAGAAGCATGTAACGAATACTTAACATAAAATACTTATTGGAGATTCTCCCAAAAAGCTAGTTTTCAGCATATGGTTTTTTCTTCTGTTGTTGCTCCTTTACAAGCCCTTGTTTGCTATTATTCTAACAATAAACTTATGCATTTTGCTCAAAAGCATCCAAAATGGACTCCTTAAACCACATCCTTAACTAAAATTTAGAGAGAAATTGAAAAAACCCACCTCCAACCATGCTCTCTATCCAGCTCCTAAAATAGGGAGACCTCTAGGAGCTCCTAAATTTGAGGAGAGAGAAAGTACTCATAGTGACTCTCTATAATTAAATGCTTCTATATTTAATATTATTTTAAGTATTTATTTAATATCAACTATTTTTTATTATTGCTTTTGTGTCTACATTTTATTCAAAAATTGAATTAAAATTTATTGAAAACATTTATGACTCTTTAAACTAGAGAGTATGGTTGGAGTTGAAATTTTATAAAGAGCTCCTAAAATAACTTTTTAGTGTTTTTAGCTAAATTTTAACTAAAAAATAGAGAGCATGATTGTGGATGCTCTTAGAGATAGTGACTTTTAGTACCAAAATTAACATACACTATCGATGAAGAAAGAGAACCCTGAAAAGGGGAAATCAGATCAAACTAGTTGAATCAAATTGATGGGTAAATTCTGTACCACCGGCTGGGAGGTAAAATCTCCTGCCGGGAACAAATCATGCTGATTTAAAATTGTGTCAACACAAAAATTGGAAGAGCACCATGCAACTCTAAAACATGACTTCCAGAGAAATTCAGGCCAACATAAGCAGGGAGATTTTAGGTACTCAGGAGAAACTTGATGTGAATTTCTTTTAGGATCAAGTTCATATACGGTTGTTAGCTATCTTCTCATCTTCAACGTTTTGTCCACCCCACTTCTTCATTCGCTCCGAAGATTGTTCAACCTGTGCCAAGAAAAAAGATTATGATTATTGTCTTTTAAACAAGAATGCTGAAGTAAATGAAAATCCTAGTTGGTGATCAGTTATAAAGTAAACAGAAGGACCACATGGATTCCTATAACAGATTTAACTGACCTCCTTGTTCCAGTTGGTTCTATAAAGCACTATCAAGAGAAGCAACGTTTGAAGAGCAGTTCCACATATCATACCTCCCCAAATTCCCTAAAATAATGAACAAATGTTGGTATTCAAACTAGCTGGACAAATCACAGATTAGAGACCGTCAAGACGAAAGAATCTCACAAACATTTAGCTGTGGAACTGAGACTGAAATTTTTTTACCTTAACTCCCCAGTTTGCTTTATAACCAAGAAGGAATCCAAGTGGGAGGCCAAAAACGTAATAACAACCCAAGTTGATATAAGCCACTAGTCCTTGCCATCCGCCTCCAATAGCAACACCTGAAGTCATGAATCCAGTAAATATTAGAAGGGGGAAGAGTCCTGTATAAA